GAGTTATCTTTGACGGGAATTTCTTATTGAAGATAGATGGGGCCATCCCACCCATCTCTGTATTTAATTGATATACGTAGGCTACTTACATTTTTTGTTAGTCGTGGGGCTTGAACTCAGAGCCTGGGCACTGTCCCTGAGCTTCTTTACCTCATGGCTAGCACTCTACCACTTTGAGCCACAGTCCCACTTCTGGTTTTCTGGTGGTTCATTGGACATAAGAGTCTCAAGGACTTTCCTGCCTGCGGTTGGCTTTGAACCACGACACTCAGATCTCAGTCTCCTGAGTAACTGACAAGAGTGAACCACCAGTGCCCAGCTTCTTGGACTATCTTATCCATAATGGCCAGGGATTTCAGTTGGGCTCATGGGGAAGAAGGAGGAAAAATGTACCTACTTCATCTTCTCGGAGGCACAGATCAATAAACATTTTAATGTACTATTTAAAAAAATATCAAAAATAATGCGAAGAAGAAATCCAGAGGTGAACAGAATATACACATTGAAATGAAAGATAGGCTCCGTATTATCGATTTCCTTCTGCTTCTCCCCCGATTTTGCCTTGTGTTCCACCCTGGTCCTGATCCTGTCACTATGTCAAATGTGTTTATTTTATTCAGTGTGGTCTTTGTGGAATTAATTGTATTATTAAAAACAACTCTTGCATTAAAATGTGCATCATGAGTTTCCAGCTTTTTGCAAGTCCCTGAAGGGTGGTATTTGAAGCAGAGGCCTTATTTGCCTCCTTTGTTTCTTGGTCCTTGTTCTTGTGGCTTTTGAAATTCCCCCACTCCTAGCTGGGGAGCCTGAATCACCGGCCTGTGTGGGTCAGGGTCCTGGGACCGCTGCACCTCTGGCTGTTGGAGGAGGCAGAAGACTTGAGGGAGTTCTGTAGGGACATCTTCTTCTGGCTACAATGAGATCTAAATTTCCCAACCCTCTCAAAGGCTGCCGACATGACTGTGTGACCCAGAAGCCCAAGGACTTGTCATAGGATGCTCCAAACAAGGTAGCTGGTATCTGTCAGATGAGGCCAGGAGAGGCCGAGGGCAAGACAGGCTGACGGAAGTCTGTCTTCATTAACTTCATCTAGGAAGGGGCAGTTATCTCTTTCACAGTTGCTTGTTGTTGTTATTGTTATTATTATTGATGCTGGTCTTGGGGCTTTAACTTGGGGCCTGGCTGCTATTCCTGAGCTCTTTTGCTCAAGCTCTACCCCTTGGGCCATAGCTCCATTTCTGGCTTATTTTGCTAGTTTGTTGGAGATAAGAGTCTCACAGACTTTCCTGCTCAGACTGGCTTTGAACGGCCAACCTCAGATCTCACACTCCTGAGTAGTTAGCATGATAGGTGTGAGCCACTGATGCCTGGCCCCCGTTGTTCTTTGAGAGTAGTAAAATGTGCCTCTAGAAAGTTCTATCTAGTTTCAACTTCCTGTCTCTGGGGAGGTAACCAACATTCCAGACAGCGCCATCTAGCGGAGGTGGGCAATGAACCGGCTCTGAGTGTCCTGCAGGGTCTTGGTCCTACACAGTCTGTCCCCAGTGCTCTGCGGGGCTGTGGCCAGCAATTACGGGTCTCTGAATCTCACTTTGACCAGCTGGGAAGTGGAGCTGAGAAGTTGCACCCAGAGGAGTTTTTGTAAGTAAATTCCAAGTCTTTAGCTGTAATCCTTGCCCTGCTGAGATGATAGCTTCTTTTATTCCCGGGGAACTCAGGAGACTCTCCAGGTCCCTGTCCACATGTGGGCTTAACTCTGGGCCTCTCCTACTCTGCAGTAGCCCTGACGGCTGCCAAACCTCCTCCTCCACAAACCTGGCTTCTCTTGGCCCATCCCAGGGCAAGATGGTCAGCTGGGAAAGGCAGCACAGTTTACGAGATGCTGAGGAAACAAATACTGGTTTAGCAACATGAATAATTGAGAAGTTTTCTCAGCAGAGAACCGGCCGGCATTCGGGGAATTGAAAATTAAGACGAAGTCACCTCCTCTTGCCCATTTTTTTTAGATGAATAATTCACAAGGGCCTGTGCCTGCCAAGACCTGGGAGAGCAGACACTCAACGTGTCTGACTTCCCAACACGGACCACGCCTCCCGTCACCTTTGTCCCAACCCCTGGATGGGGAAAGGGGCATCTGTGGAATTGGTAAGAACTAGTGGCCCAGCAGTTCCAGTCTGAATTTTTAACCAGTGCTGTGTGAGCCAAGGGGACAATGGTGGCTTGATGGGGGTGGGGGGGGCCTGCATGACCCTCTGGCCTCAGCCATTTCCTTCCAGAATGTTCCCTGGGCACCCACTAATGCAAGATGTGGTGGGCAGGTGGTGGGGGGGGCAGGCCTAGGCTGAGAGTCCTTGGGGAACAACTATGAGCAAAAGAGACACACAGGTCTTTGTCTACACCTGTGGAGGAGGGGCGGGGCTTAATGAAAGAATAACACCTGTGTGAAAGCTGGGGTGGTGGTGAGTGCACACCGGGGCTGGATGGCTTTAAGCAGGAGGCAGAGGAAGGACACCGGAGCTGAGTTTGGAGGGAACGTAGGCAGTGAGCAGGGGAAGAGGGCAGGGCCCAGCCTGGGCAATGCCATTGCTTGTGCAAAGGCCCTGGGGTAAGTACATGGGTCTAAGGAAGTGGACATACCAGAGAGCGTGAGAAGGCTCTCATTGGTGATGGGGCACAGAGGGGCCGTGAAGGCCTGGCCCCTGATGGCTGTGGTGAGCTCTCTCTTCTGTGTTCTGAAGCAGGGAAAAGTCAGGAGAGCGTGGCGATTGGTGAGCCCCGGCTGTGCGATAAATGTACCCAAGCAGAGTGCGGAAATGCTCCCTTTGCTGTATAGCTCAGAAGCTGCAGGTCAGCCCTGCAGTTGGATGCTGACGCTGCTTCTGGTCCGAGTCAGGCTCTGCTGACCTTAGCTGGGCGTGTCTGTGTGTCCACCCTGGGGGCAGAGGGGGAGAGGTCTCAGCTTAAAGTGTGGTGGATTGGAGAGCTGGAAGGATCTGGAAGGAGCAAGGAGCAGCTGGAAGGAGCAGGAAAGAGCTGGAACTGGAGAGCTGGGTTCTAGATCCTATTATGTGGACTACAATATTGATCATCCCCTTTGGGTGAAGTTGAGACCAAGTCTACCTTACAAGTCCAGAGCTCCTGGCGGGTGGGGCCAGGGCTCATCCCTCACCCCTCCCTCCCCACCTGGGGCCCCTGGCTGCTCTTCTTCTGGAAACACTGGCTGGGAAATGTCATCCCTCTGTCTCCAGGAGCCCCAGAGACAGGGGCTCTACTGCCTGGCCACCTGTCAGGAGTCAGCGGATGGGAGTCAGGCCACCCACAGCTCCAGGGTCCCTTCTCCCGAGAGGCCGCCTTGCTGCCTTCCTGCTTCAGGCCGACTTGAAGTTCCTGGTCGGCTGGTCAGACAGCATTTGTAAGCAGCTCCCTTCCCAAGCCAGTGAATAATTCAGCAGCCAGCGCCTACAGCCCAGCCATCATTCCAACCTGCCTGCCACCCCGAGCGCCCAGCTAGTGGGCAGGAAAGGATTAAAAAAAAATCACCCAGCTTCCTTGATAAATGGGTGTCCCTTTGGGCCCTGGCCTTGAGGTGGGGGGGCTGGGGTACAGCCAGTGTGGGTAGAGGGGTCCAGGGGTGTGGGGCGGGGTATGGGGGGCAGGCCTGGAGGGCTAGTTGACTTTTGGATCCTGAGACACATTTGCTTTGGGACAGTGGGCTCTGGTCGTTGGAAGACTTGGCTCTTCTTCCTTGGGTTTGGCCATGCATCATTCATTCATTCATTCATTCAGGGATCACAGATGCTGTAGAAGCTGTTCACAGGGGTGGCAGCGAGCGGGGCTGGCCCTTGCTACAGGGTGGTGGCAGTCCCGAGTCACCCATGCAGGTAGGGGTGTGGCCTGTGGCTCCGGCAGTGCTGGAGGCCGGAAGTGATCCCGAAGGGGGAGGGCCGAGAAGTTCAGATCCCGGATTCTGGGATCAAACCGTTGACATTGGAATACCAGCCCTGACAGTTCCAGAGGGGGGGGGAGAGAGACAGAGAGACAGAGACAGAGACAGAGAGACAGAGAGAGAGGGAGGGAGGAGGGAGGGAGAGGGAGGGAGGGAGGGAGGGAAATGCTCCCTTTGCTGTATAGCTCAGAAACTGCAGGACACACACACACACACAGAGCCTCACACAGGCGGCCTCTCCAGACAGTGTTTATTGTCTCTGGTGCCTCTTCACCTTTCCCTCTGGTCTCCAGTGGAGGGCTCTGTGACTCAGCCTTGTTCCCTGCGTCCACCCTTTGGCTCTCTGAGCCTGTGAGGTCAGCCGGGAGGGGCGGGGCAGTGCTACAGCCCTCCCACCCCTGGCCCTACGCCCCCCACCTCCGCCACTCCTGGCCTGGTTGGGTAGGTTTGTGTCCTCCTCTCCGAGAAGCATTTCTCCTGGTGCTTTGTCTTGGGTCAATTGTTCCAATTGTTGAAATTCAAGATGGCCCCAGGGCCTCTTGTCTCTGCCTTTCTGCTATCCTATCCGCAAGGACACACAAATGGGGCATCAGGCAGCCTTTGCTTCTGGGGGGAGAGATTCTGAGTCTCAGCTTCTTAGAACGTGTTGGAAGTGTAATGTGAGGATCCCAAGCAGGATGGGGTCCTTGGACCCCGATCTTCAGAAGCGTTCCCTCCAGTGCCACTCTCCAGGCTGGTGGCCGACCTGGCTGCCCTTTGTGGGTGGTGGTTGCGATGGTTTACATCTTGGGGTGCTAAGAGTTACGGGGGGTTCCTGTGCACCCTCTTATTGGTTTTTCTGTGAGCAGTGTCCATTGCGTTTGTGGATAGTGACGGTTCCAATTTCCATTGGTTCTTGAGACTGAAGTCACGCCTCTCCCTAATGCATGCGCTTTAGTCTCCATAGTGCATTAGAGATGGCGTACCCCGAGGTTCACAATCCTTGGTGGGGGCGGGGGAGGATGATTCCGACCCAGGTTACATAACACGGATGGCTCTTTGTCCAGCTTCATCATCAACACTGGCACTCCACAGAGATGGGTTGGCCATGGCTGGCTGGCGGCTTCTCAATACAGATGGCGCCGCTACGCTCGGCTTGCATGTTGATAGGGGGTCTCTACAGGTCAGATTCTCCACAGTTAGGCTTCTCGGTGGGGTGTGGACTTTTTTTCAGTTGCTTTCTTACTCACGTTGGTTCTGACCTCTTTGGGCCCCTGTATGTAGTGTTTGGAGCGTGTGTGTGTGTGTGGGGTGGGAGTCGGGGGGGTTGTGGATTTAGAAGCTGGGGTACCCGCTTATCAAGGTACATGTACCTGGGCAGGTGCCTCGCCCTGGGTGACCTGGCTGCTGCTTGTCATCTTGTCCCCCTTCTTGTCCGGCAGGAGGCTGATGTTGCTGTTTGGCATGGTGGGTCCCTTGTCCTGGGTCTGGATGCTCTGGCTGCTGTTGGTTTTGCTGGGGCTCTGGCTGTTGGCGGAGCTGAACAGCCCGCTGCTTACCTGGTAGGTCAGAAAACTGCTACCGGGGCTGAGGAAACCAGTGCTGCTCAGGCTGCTGGTGTTGCTGGCCGGCAGGCTAGGTTCACTCTTCTTCTCCAGCCTGCTTGAGGCCGAGGCCTTGGCCATTCAGCTGGTGTCTCCTGGATCGAGGGGAATTGACCACGCACACCTGGCTACTCTGGGTGCTGCCCAGCTGGGCCCTGAGCCTCTTACTCAAGGGGACTCGTGACCGTCCTCGGCTCTTCAAGCCCACCTGGCTGCTCTCCTCATCGCCCGAGTAGCCGCTGCTCAGCAGGCTGGTGTTACTGCATTCTTTGGGCGTGGAGTGTTCTGTGCTGGGCACCTGGCTTTTGCTGCTCTGGGACTGTCCCAGGGTGCTGCGGGACACACTCACGGGTTCCTCGGGGTCCGCCGCATGGCGTGGCCGGGGGTGCGGCTGGAGCTGCAAGCTGAGGCCCAACAGACTTGGTTCTTGCCTCTGAGCGTTCTCGGCAGAAGATACCCCCTTCCCTGCCTCCGGGCAAGTGGGGGACAGGTGAATTGATTTCTCCAGGAAAGGGTCCTGGGAGGCCTCTGAATGGTGCTGCCTTGGGGGTGGAGAAGTGATCACAGTTTCTAGGGCTTTCCCCCACCCCCTTTCTTCACAGAGTGTTCTGATTGGTTGGTTTGGTTCCCATGGTGATGGAGGGGTCTGTGAGGTGGGAGTGGGGGTGGGAGGAGGCAGAACAGTGCTGGCTAGTTCTAATGCTAGTGAACTAATAGTGCAGTTAGTTCCATTAGAGGCTGGGGGGAGAGAGGGCACTGGCCGGAGGGGTTGTGTCATCAGTTCTCACATTCACCAGAGAAACGCCCAAGGGAGGAGCTGGCTTATTTTGGGCCATAGTTTCCACTGCTTAAGTCTATCATGGAGGATAGGTGTGGTAGAGAAGAGCTGTTCATCTCATGGTGGCAAGGAAGGAGGGGGGGAAGAGAGGGAGACACAGAGAAAGAGAGGGAGAGAGAGAGGGAAAGAAAGAAAGAGAAGGAAAGGGAGAGAGAGAGAGGGAGAGGGAGAAAGAGAGAGGGCGGAAGAGGGCGGTTAGCTAACCTTTGGCCGTGGGAAGGGAATTTGTGAAAGAGATGATGTGGGAAGATGGGCATGAGTGTCTGTCATCTTAGCTAGGCAGAAGACTGAGATCACAAGGACCATGGTTCACAGCCAGTCTGGCAGAAAAGTTCATGAGACACCAACTCCAATTAAGCAGCAAAAGGCTGAGTTGGAGCTGGAGGTGTAGCTCAGATGGTAGAGTGCCAGCTGTAAGCAACCAATCAAGTTACAGCACCAGGCCCTGAGTTCAAGCCCTGGTACCACCATATAAACACAGACAGACAGACAGACAGACAGACAGACAGACAGACAGACAGACACACACACACACACACACACACACACATATCAGTGGGGCGTCGGTGGCTCACACCTGTAATCCTAGCTACTCAGGAGGCTGAGAGCTGAGGATCAGACCTTAAAGCTAGTTGGCACAGTAAAGTCTGTTAGACTTTTACCTTCAATTAACCACCAAAAAACCCGTGGCTCAAGTAGTAGAGTGCTAGTCTTAAGCAGAAAAGCTCAGGGACAGCACCTAGACAATGAGTTCAAGCCCCAGGACTGGTGCACACGCACACAAAATGGAGTAGCAGTTAGCTCTGGTAGGACCCCTGGCTTCCTAAGGCCACCATAGTCCCCTAGGGAAAACCCTGGTGGCAGAGCAGCAACCTCTAGTATAATTCCTAACCCTGTCCTGCCCCAGACCAGCCAAACTGTGACCTTTAAGGGTTGCTACAACAAGCTACTCCCCTACAAAATCCACACGTGTGTGTGTGTGTGTGTGTGTGTGTGTGTGTGTGTATCCTGGGGCTTGAACTCTGGGCCTGGGTGCTCTCCCTTGGCTTTTGTGCTCAAGGCTAGTGCCCTACCACTTGAACCACAGCTCCACTTCTGGTTTTCTGGTGATAGAGATTAGAGTCTCATGGACTTTATTGCCCGGGCTGGCTTAGATCCCCCATCCTCAGATCTTAGCTTCCTGAATAGCTAGGATGACAGGTGCTGGTGCCCATCTTCCCACATTACCTCTTTTGCACATTCAATTCCCAGGGCCTGGACTCCCTTTTATCCAGAAGTTCTGATCCTTGAGGGTGTGGGGGGTGTGGCGGAGAGGGGTGCTTCACTGCTGCCTGACTTCTGATCTCCACCGCCCCACATTTCCCCACTAGGGACTGGCTTTTAAGAGACACCTGTGTCTTAGTGGTGATGTCCAAGGTCAGGAACAACGTGGTACCTAAGAGATAGAAGAGACTTGACTTTGTGGCACTGATCCAAGAGGCAGGGGGTGGGACATACATCAGACAGACAGGAAGTTGAGTCTGAGGAAGGGCTCTGTCCCTGAATATGTAAACAGCAGGGCAGAGGCCTCCAGGCTGGGGATTGATCACACTCCTCCTCCACCTGCCCCAGGTCACCGCCTTCTGGGCCTGAGGACTGCACATCTGGGGCTGGTCTAGAACATGTGGCAGATGTGTTTCTCAGCCAGCAGCAGGTGGGCTGCCAGATGGCGGCCTGTGGAGCTGAGTTGCGTCACAGGAGTTTCCAGGGCTGAGTGGAGCACTGCAATCTCACCCGGCTGCTCTGGGAGTCTCAGGAAGTGGTTGCACGTCAGTTCTACTTTTTATAGTCCAGCCCCTTCCTTTCTGCCTTTTGCCTGAGCAGCTTCTGCGATGGTCTCCTCACCTTGGCACCACCCGATCCGTCTGTGTTGGGCAGAAAGCTGCAGTACCTTGCCAACCCATAGGGCCAGAGCCAAAGACACACGGGGGCCCCATCTTAATCCCTGCCAGCCTGCCCTTCCTTTCTCCAGGCCTTAGCCTGCTTGTCCTAAGGTCGCTAGTTGTGGTTTCTTTTCCCCCAATCACGTGGCTCCTGGTTAAGTTCCCTGACCTTTCTCAGTTTGGGTTCTCTCTCTCAAAAAAAAAGGCATAACTTGAAGCTGGTGGTGCACACCTGTAATCCCGGCTACTCAGGAGGCAAAGAGGATTTGCACATTCAAGGTGAACCTGGCCCAAAGCCTGGAAACCAAACCTACAGACAAAAAGTTTAGGAGTTGCGTGGCTCAAGTGGTACCGAGCTTGCACAGCATGCCTGAGGCCACGGGTTCAATCCTCAGCACCACTCTCCCCCTCCCCAACCCTCCTTCCATCCCCTCCCAGCAGAGACAAGAGCTGGCACTAGTGGCTTCCATGCAAAGTGATTCTTAAGAGCCCTGGGGACAGCAAAGATGGGAAGGAAGGAGGGCCAGGAAGGGCTTGGGGTGTGTGTGGGGGAACCATGGGCCCCAAAGCTCTGTCCCAGGGGGTTCCCCCCCTCCCAAGAGAGCATGCAGGCCTGGATTACTGAAGCCCTGACTCCCACAGCTAGTGAATCCAAGGCACTTCCCGTTTCTTCCCCCAGGCTAGCTTGGGGCAGGGTGGGCGCAGGCCGCCTCGGGACCCTGGCCTGTGGCTGGCTCCCTGGGGCAGCTGGGGGGTCCGAGCTTGAGGAAGCAACTCGTTGGGTGATGGCGGAACTGGAGGCTCAGACGGAGACACGCAGGCCCTGAGAAACTCCTGGGTCGCCTTGGAGGGACCCAGAGGCAACTCTGCACTGGAGAGAGCATTGCTGGGGGGGGGGCAAGTCCTGGTCCCTCAGTTTCCCCCCCAAGCCCTCTGGCTACCAGCTCTGTGGCTCTGGGCTGGCCCAACTCCCCACATGAGTGGCCTGTTCATCAAATGTATCCTTCCACGTTGGTGGAGAGGAGGAATTATTGGCACAAAATGAGGCTATAAAACCCTGCCTGGCACGTCTTGTTTTTTTTTTTTTTTTTTTCCAGGTGCTGGGCAGGGAACACTTGGAAAGGCGCCAAGAGATCGGCTCATGTATAAAAATGGCCTGAGACTACAGTTCATCTGTTTAATTCACACGAGGTGACATGGTATCTTTCATTTAGACTTATTACTGGCGTGGCCACCACGGGGATCCCAACGCCCAGCGTCCGGGCAGGGACTTCTGTCATGATTGCACGTTGTGTTTTCTGTCAGGAGAAGGCCTGCAGCCTGGGAAAGGAGAGGCCGCAGAGAATAGGTCCTGTTAGGTATGAAAATGAATTTGTTCTTTTCCTCCGTGGAGTAAGAGCTGCATGTGCATTTCTGTGATCCATGCAACGGACTGTCAGCAGCCATGGTGGTCACCTTGGAGGCTGGCGCCGTGGCCGCAGGCCAGGGGCAGAGCGGGAGGGCACAGGTTTCTGGGTCATCAGCAAGGCTGGGGGAGGTGCAGAGATGGGCTCAAGGTCACCGTCAAGGTCACACAGGGGCAGGTGGGGACCACTGGGACTGGGAACCTATGGCCTATGCTTCTCTGTATTGTGGTAGGAGAAGGTGGGGGAGGCTGTGTAATCCCGGCTCGGCTTTCTGCCATGGCAGGTGTCCCCAGCTCATTGGCTTGCTAAAGATGTGAAGGGTTCCTGGGGGGGGGGAAGATGTGGGTTATTTATTTATCTCCATAGCACTCTACTCTCTCCTTCCATCCGTCCTTCCTTTCTTCCTTCCTTCCTTCCTTTCTTCCTTCTCTTGCCCCCCCTTTCTTCCTTTGTCAGTAATAGACTTGAACTCAGAGCCTCTGGCATAGGCAAGCCTTTATCATGTAAGCCATGACTCCAGTCCTTTTGCTTTTAGTTTGTCTTTTATTTAGTGTTTCATGCTTTTACACAGGCTGCCTTCAAATAGCGATCTTTCTACTTCCTGATTTCCAGTAGAGGGAATTACAGGCATGTGCTATCATGCTTGACCCAGCCTCTCTGTTTTTTTTTTTCTTTTCTTTTTTCTCACACATCTCTGTTGATGGTTTCTCAGCAATGATCTCTGAATGCCGTAGAGGAGGGGCTTTCCTCAGTTCACAGCTGAGCTGTCGAGGGCCGTAGCTGTCTGTGAGGTAAGGAGGTACACATGTCTTACAAGTGTGGGCTCAGATGCTTTTGGTGGTGAACACTTTGATATGTTTTCCTCATGGATATGTATTTTTCTTTTTTGCTGGTGCCAGGATTTGAACCAAGAAACACACTTGTTTAGCTTTCTTGTTCATGGATGATGCTTTACCATTTGAACTATGCCTCCAGCCTGGGTGTTTGCTGGTTGTTTTGAAGATGGAGTCTGGTGGATTTCCTTTGACCTTGAACCATGATACTCTAGATTTCAGCTTCCTAAGTAGCTAGGATGAGAAGCATGAGCTGCCAGTGCCCAGACATGGTGGAATTCTTTTAAAAAACAACAAAACAAGCTAATTTTAGCTGGGTGCTGGTGGCTCATGCCTATAATTCTAGCTCCTCAGCAGGCTGAGATCTGAGGATCATGGTTGGAAGCCAGCCTGGACAGAAGAGTCCCCATGAGACTCTTATCTTCAATAAGCCACTCAAAAACCAGAAGTGGTGCCGTGGCTCAGGTGTTAGAGCGCTATCCTTGAGCACAAAGAGGCTTAGGGACAGTGCCCAGGTCCTGAGTTCAAGCCCTAGAACCAACCAAAAAAAAAACAAAAATGAATTTTTATTTTAATAATGTGATAGTAACATATTGATTGCTAGATTTCTGGCACTCCTTGAAATCTGACTTGCTACCTTCACCCCAGACCCTGCCCAGTGCCAAGTACTGACATTCTAGAAAGGTGGGCAGAATGAATGCTTTTACCTGGCTGATTTCAGCAGGGGGGTGGGGAGGGGAGGAGGGGAGGCAGGGGAGGGAGTAGGCTGGGGCGGGTAGGCAGCTGAGCGTGGCTGGTAGATGAACTGAAGAATAAGGCATACCCCTTCCTGGGTCTGATTGGGGAAGCAATTAGAAACTAAATCTCCACATCTGTCTTAACGGGAGAGCAGAGCAGTTCAAAAGCCTCGTGGAATGAATTTCCTTCCGTCCTTAAACCCAGGCTGGGAGTGACTCTGGACAGTGAGGATCCCTGGGAGCTGTTGGTGACATTGTGATGATGTGGCCTGACTCTGTAGCAATGCCATCGCTGGCTGTCCAGGGGACCACACCTGGGCCAGGCCTGCAGCCTGCCACGCCCCATTGCAAGAAACCACCAGTCTGCCCTCCACCCCTGCTGATTTCCTTCCAGTGCCCACGTTTCCCCGAGATGCGTTCTTATAATTAAGGCGAGCGTGAGAAATAACCTGCTGTATAATTTAGAACGGTAAAATTATCGATACCTTTCCCCGCTTCAGCTCTAAATCTCCGCCACCGACGACTCCCCTATTAACGGGCCTAATTAAATCCATTTTTCAGGACGTCTTTGGCAAATTCCATTTTAGTAAAACTGTAGGAAGTTCAGTTTGATTTGTCTCTGCTCCCCAGAGCTCTCCGTAATGAGGATCTTTGGGGCTGATGTATATTCATGCATCCGCAAGCATTTATTGAGCACCTACTGCATGCACTGCTATCAACCTGGTAGAGGTGGGTTGGAAGGGAAAAGATGGTGAAGTTCCTGTGATCATGGCCAGAGAGGAATGAAGGTCATTCATTCATTCAACAAGCACAAAGTTTTGTTGGTAATACTGGGGTTTGAACTTAGTGCTTTTCACCTGTTAGGAAGTTGTTCTACTGCTTGAGTCATGACTCTACCCTTTGAGATCTGCGCCCCCTCTTCTTTCTCTCTTTTTTTGTGCCAGTCCTAAGGCTTGAACTCAGGGGCTGGTCCTTGAGGTTTTGTTTTTTTTCTTTCTCAAGGATAGCAGTGTAACGCTTGAGCCAACTTTTTTGCTGGTTAATTGAGTCTCATCGACTTTCCTGCCCAGGCTGGCTTTGAGCTATGATCCTCAGATCTCAGGCTTCTGTGTAGCTAGAATTATAGGTGTGAGCCACTTGTACCCAGCTACTGCTCAAGTTTATTTATTTGTATTTTTTTTTTGTCGGTCGTGGGGCTTGAACTCTGGGATTGGGCGCTATCCCTGTGCTCTTCAGCTCGAGGCGAGGGCTCTACCACTTGAGCCACAGCACCACTTCCTATTTATTTGTAATTTAAAAAAAAATTATTTTAGGGGCTGGGACAGTGGCTCAGTGGTAGAGTGCTTGCTTTGCAGGCATGAGGCCCTGGGTTCGATTCCTCAGCACCACATAAGCAAAAAGAAAAAAGCCAGAAGTGGCACTGTGGCTCAAGTGGTAGAGCGCCAGCCTTGAGCTGAAGAGCTGAGGGACAGCACCCAGGCCCAGAGTTCAGGCCCTAAGACTGGCAAATAAGTAAATAAGTAAATAAATAACTTAAAGGTGAAATGCAGAGGGGCTACAGTTACATACGTTAGGTGGAGAGTGCATTTCTTTTTGGACAATGTCACGCCTTCCCTTGCTCTCTCCCAGTTTTTCCCTCTTGTCCCCACCCGCCAGTTGTATAGTTCATTTTCCAGTGGATATTACGGCTGCATTAGTTTATCCTTTGTCCCTCCATTTCTATGCCTCCCCTTACCCTCTCCAAAACAGGTAAATGATCATATAGAAAAAAAAAGGGAAAGAAAATAAAACCAGCCAAAAAAAGAAAAGAAAAGAAAAACTCTTGTTTTCATTTCCTGGAGTGTATTTATTTATTTTTAATAGATTTTTCCCCCCATGAAGTAGTTGTTTGGAGGGGTTCCAGTTCAACATGGCAGTGTATAAACTTTACACGTGGTAGGTGTGGTTTTAGTTGTCAACTTGGGCAGGGAAGAAGCACTTAGACTCACCTCCACAGAGAGCTGTAGCTGATTTTCAGTGAGGCCGGAGGAAACCATTTTAAAGTCCATACCACCACTGCCTCCCTCACCCACCTTTGCTGGAGATTTGCTGCCTTTAGTAGTAGAAGCTTTGAGGAAACAGACATAACACTGTAAGTCTGTGACTGTTACAAGGCAGAGAACTGTGAGTCCATGTCACCCCTTCCATCTTTCTCCCCCCCCTCCAGCCCTACCCCTCCCCTCGAGTTCCCAGGCTCCATTTCCACATGTGCTCATTGCATATGATGACTGCATTCCCCCTCTCCCTCCCTCCCTCTCTCCCTCCCTCCATTTGTCTGACCCCCCCACTGCCCTCGATCTCACCTCCTCACCCCCATGGTCCACCTTTCCTTCCAATACTCACTTTGGTAACACCTTCCCTCCCCCGCTTGCCTGGGATCTACCTCCCCCTTTACAGCACACATGCCCACTGTCTGCTCTCCACTTGTTAACCTGTAAATTAGTTGTTTTCAAGAGTTACCCCACTGGAATTTGCCCCTGCACAGCCTATGCTTTACGTTTGTGCAGCTAGACATATGACCTGCTACATGTCTTCATAGAAGTTTATAATTTAGACCTCACTTCCACACAGGAGAGAAAACACTCGCCCTTGGCAAGCGATCAATCTGAAGCCCCACCTCTTAAGGTGAGTCCAGGAAACCACTTTGGTCCACTTTCCTAAGGAGACAAGAAACCCCTCAGGCAGTGGAGAAGAAGCAGCCACTCATTTGGAATTCATCCCCTGTCCCCATCCTCTCTGCAGTCCTGGGCAGTACACCTGATTCTTACAAATGTGGGTTCGAGATCAATATCTGGACTCTAGAAGCCAATGTCCTCTGAGAAGCGGCTGCGGGGCCTTCACGGTGTCCACCCTGTGCCCACTAACGTGGGGGGGTGGGCCGGCTGGCCCCAGGGTGGGGGCGGGGGAAGGCTCATCAGAATGACTGATGCAGAGGTGAGTGATTTAATCTGCTAAGGTGGCGTGGCTGCTAGGGAGCAGCCGATTGGTCAGTGTCCTGGGGCAGGGCTGGGGACTGAGCAGGAAGGAGGCCTCACTGAGATGGATCACCCAGTGCGATATTGATTCACCTTGCCCGGAACGGCCCATTTCTGTTTGGAAATATGGAAAAAAAAAAACCCCAAATTAATGAATAAATGAGCTGGCTTGGTGCACTGCGCTCCTCTGGGAGTCCTGGTATTTAAGCCACGTATGCCAAGTGAGTTCTGAGCCAAGATGAGCTGTGTGTGTGTGTGTGTGTGTGCATCCTGGTGGCTCTGTGTGTCCATACAGGACCACACCCAGAAAGGCTTTGGAAAACAGTAGCAGGTATCCTGGGCTCAGTCACATTCCTCCCCCCTGTGTTGGGGCTTGAACTCAGGGCCTGGATGCTGTCCCTAAGATTTTTTTTCCTCAAGGTTGGTGCTCTATCACTTGAGCCACAGCCCCATTTCAGTTTTTTTTGGTTCTTAATTAGAGATAAGAATCTCACAGACTTTCCTCTCTGCACTGGCTTCGAACCCCCAGCCTCTGATCTCAGCTTCCTGAGTAGCTAGGATTACAGGCAGGAGCCACCAGCACCCAGCAATCATTATCTTTATAATAACCTGTGACCATGAGCTTTGATCTCCTAACCCGGCAGTGAACAGGGGGCTCCTAGACTTCACCTCCTGCCCCATAGACCCACAAAACCTCTCCGTTTCTATCGATCACCCTTCCATACCCATCTCCGGTGGAGACCGTTGGCTCCAATGTTACAATCACAACAATATTAGAATAACAACTTAAAACCAATCATTTTTATGGGGACACACACACTCACAGTATTGAAAGAGCTGCCTATCGGAGGGTGCAAAATAGCAGCAGCAGAGATGGCCCCATAAAGATGTCAGTTCCAGAAACATCTCGGGGAGTCCTTGAACATGGTTGTCCAAGTTTAACCGGAGAGAGAGGAGGTAGGGGGAGAGGGAGGGAGGGAGGAGGATATTGCAAATCATTTTTCATGGGGAGTCTAGGGCAAGGATAAGTGACAGATCCAGTCTACAGGGGACCGGAGGATGCCTGGGCCAGACCTCTCTAGAAAGCCCGGAGTATACGTTTGGCAATGCGCATAGACAGGGTGGGGAGGATGATCAGCCTGCATGGCCCGGCCAACTTCCTTTACTTCTCATGCTGAATCAGACCCTTAGGTGAAATGC